GGAAGAGCGGAGGAACGGAGGAGCGGAGCTAGCGCAGTTGCCCGCGGAGGTCACTGTGTGAATCATAAGAGAGCGTGAAGGTGACGATAGCAGGGATCTTGAGGTAGAAGAAACAATAAGTTGAGGAGATGGTGCGATGACGAGGGTCAAGTTCGAGTAGAGGAGGAGGAGGTCCGAAGTTATGCAGGAATGGTGGGGTCAGAGTTGAAACTCTGCTTGTATCCCTCAAGATCCCAAGAAAAAAAGAGCAGGACAGGAGGGATGAGTGAGGAGAGATTCGCGGAACGAAGATGTACGCTAGCTCCCAACTGTAGGTGGGAGGGAGGGAGGGAGGGATCAGGAAGGGGAGAGGAAGGAGAAGGAGGGAGAGAGGAAGGACCAAGAGGGAGAGAGGAAGGACCAAGAGGGAGAGAGGAAGGAGGAGGAGGAGGAGAGGAAGGAGGAGGGGGACGAGGAGCAGCAGGAATTTCCTCCACCTTCGCCCATGTGCGACAAGTCGGATCGCCCCCCTCCGTACCGGGCCCGCACAGTCATACCACAGCAGGTCCGCCTCGTTTGTCAATGCCGTCGATGAGCGGGGAAGAGGGTGCAAAATGAACAAGGTGGGGTAATCCCATACATGAGGTAGGGGTAGGATAATGGAAAAGTACCGGGTACTCTGATACATAAATTCGTCTAAATGATGTGGTAGGGTGATCATCTGACGTTGGATTCTTTATGGGGTAGTCTTCCACTCGGAGATTGTGGGTGGGGTAGTCAAGGGACGGTGAAGATGGGGCTGGTGGAAGTGGGGGAGGACATGTCAGGGCTGATATGGCCGAAGACCAGGATCTTGGCGGGAATGATGGTAAGAAAGGAGGAGATGTGTAATGGGGATGAGAGATGAGATGTTCCACGAGCTTCACGTACGAGGAAGCAACAAGCGTTTCATGACAAGGATGTTTGTGGGGCAAAGTTGGTGTCGGGATGTTTTATGTGCAGAGTGTGGAGGGAAAAATGGAAATTGAGAGGCAGAAAGGGATCAGGAGAGGAGAGGAATAGGTACTTGTGATCAGGACGATGGTGTTGATCGCATGACTGTACCTCTCTGCTATGTGCGACTGCTCAGCTGCAATTGTTGTTTGGAGGCGTTTGAATGTCTTCTCCTGATGGAGCATGGAAGGTGTGCAAGGAGCTTAACCGGCTGTTGCGGAGCATGCTGGACAGCGACAGAACCTCGCTCATCCGAGTGGAGTTGCGAGTGAGAAAAGATGTGTCAGCTTGCATGCTGGAACGCGTTGATCTGTCCAAGTTTCGGTCGGGGATGGTGGAGTTGACGCTAACGGAGGGGTCACAGCTGAAGCCAACGCTTGCTGCCATTGCACGAGCAAGCGACAAGGGGCTGAGACATCTCGTGCTCGACCTCGACAACAACCCATCCACGGCCGACCTCATCCGCATCGAGTCGGAGAGAGGAGAAGAATGGGCCAAGTGGATAGCGGAGTATGCGAGGATCGCGACATTGGGAGGAGTTAGTGCTGTGCTCGAGACACTAGAGACGCACAAGACTTCTGCTGTGCTGTGCGAGAACGCGTGCAGAATCCTCGTCTTCCTCGCGAGAAACTTCGACAACCAGAGGCTGATCGCAGAGGCAGGAGGGATCAACCTGGTGGTCAACGTGATGAGACTTCATCTTGAGGACGCGCGGGTGCAGGAGAGAGGATGTGCAGCTCTCAGCAACTTGGCCTGCAACGCGCAGAACGAGGCGAAGCTGCTGGAAGGGGGAGTGATCGCTGTAATCCTGACCTCCATGCGGAGGCATCGCCTCGCCTCGGTCTCCGAGTGGGCCTGCCGCGCCCTTCGCAACATTGCGTGCTACTCGGACAACCCCATCCGCATCGCGCAGGAGGGAGGAATCGAGACGATCCTCGACCTCATGCAGGAGCACAGAGAAAGTGCTGGGCTGCAGGAAGAGGCGTGTGCGGTGCTCCATAACCTTGCTCTGGACGTGGAGAGCAAGAGCGCGATAGTAGCAGCAGGAGGAATCGAGTCGATCCTTCAAGGGATGGAGGAGCACCTGGCAAGCATACAGGTACAGCAGGAGGCCTGCGCTGCCCTCCAGGTCTTCTCCGAGTGGCGAGGTTACCACAGAAGGATCTTACGAGCTGGAGGAGTCCGGGTGCTCAATGAGGTAGTCCGTATACACAACCATCCTCGGGTGACCAACTCAGCGCACAGCTGCTTGTCCTTGCTTTCTCCCCTTGCCTCCTCTGCTTCCTCCTCCTCCTCTGTTGTGTGATGCTCCTGTACAACTAGCTCTGTCCCTACCGCTGCTGCAACAACAGTGGCGAGTGGATGGTTAACGTCTGACAAAAAATAATAAAATAATAAGGCGAATGAGAAAAGAGCATGAGGAAGAGAGAAGAAAAATGAAAGACAGAGGCAAGAAAAATATAGAGGGAGGAGGAGGAGGGAGGAAGAGGGAGAGATGAAGCGGGAGCGTTCAAGTTCTCCAGCCTTTGTAGCCTCCCTGTACTATATGCAGGGTCTTCTTGCCTTCGGTAGCTGCAGCGACCTGGTAGGAGTCAGGGAGGAGGGAGGAGGGAGACTGCATAACCTCCCACATGAGCCGCAGCATCGACTCGAACTCCTTGACCCAGCCCTTGAGGAGAACGTGAGGAGCTTGAACAGATGGACAAGTAGGAAGGGAGCTTGGGCAGAAGGAGGAGGAGCAACAGGTGTTGATGGTGATGAACAGAGGAGGAACAAGGGGAGGTGAACGAGAGAGGTACCTTCGTATCGAAGAGAATGCCGTTCGACCTGCTGTATTCGACCTGCAGGAGAGTAAGCAGGAGGCAGGCGGTCATCGTTGAGAACCTTGTCTCGCAGCTCCTGCAGCTTGCGCGGATTTTCCCCCAGTTGTGTTGCAATGGAGACGTACTCCTCCGATGTTCTGCTGGATGTAAGCGATGCGAGAGAGGAGATGAGAGGAGAGCAGGGGAAAGGAGAGGAAGGAGAGGGAGAGGAGGGAGAGGAAGGAAGAGCATCACCGAGCAAGCAGTTGCGGCACCTTCATAGTTCGCAAGAATGAAGCACCGCATCTTCTCGCCATGTTGGACCCAGCAAGAGTGACCAGAGGCTTCAATCCACAAGTCACTTCATCCTCCTCCTCCTCCTCCTCCTCCTCCTCCTCCTCCTCCTCCTCCTCCCTTTCCTCCTTCCCTCTTTCCTCGTCTTCTACTCACTTCCTCTTCTATCTTACCAGTCCAGCCCAGAGCGCATCGAGCCCCGAGACATGCGCATTGTACTCGAGGGTGTCTAGGAGGAGGCTGGCGGCTCGCTTGACATTGAGGTGAATCTTAGAGGGGAACTTGTCTGACAGATGCAGCCTGCTCAAGCCTGAAGTGACGTCAGCAAATCTCCTCCTCCTCCTCCTTTCCTCCTCCTCCTCCTCCTTTCCTCCTCCTCCTCCTTTCCTCCTCCTCCTCCTCTACGTGCCTATCTCTCTTTCCTCGAACTCTCGGCGCAGGTTCGGCTCAGCTTCCGGTGGAAATCGAAGCAGCCAGAGGACGGAGTCTGGGAGCTCCTGCAGGAAAATCAAGAGATGCGCGGGAGGGATGCGTCGAGAGAAGGAGCAGAGGAGAAGGAACACACACAGAAAGGGGATGTGAAGTATGATGAGCAGGGGAGCAGGAGGGGACTAAGCGGAGCAGTAGCAGGAGCAGGAGCAGGAGCAGGAGCAGGAAGTGGTAGTCGAGGCTGTGGGTGAGGCGGAGGGAGAAATCGTTGAGAGGAGGACAAGGAAGGAACCTCACCTGCATTATGCGGAGCCACAAGTGGAAGGTATGAGGGCCGAGCTTCTGCAAGTGATTGAAGTTGGCGAGGACGAGCTGCTGAGAGCGGTGGGGGAGGCTCAGGTTGGAGGCGTTGGCTGCCGTGAAGTCACCGAGGATCTGCTCGGCCTGGCTCTGCTTGTGGTCGTTGACCATGTACATGTTGGGCAGCCAGGCGACTTTCTCGGGGAAACAGGAAGTGTGCTGCTCGGGAGGAAGCACCACCCGGTCCGAGAGGATGTAGTCGAAACCCTCCATCGTGAGGGTATAGGGGAAACCCAAATAATTCACAGCGACAGGAGCTGGTTTCAGTGCTCCGATCTGTTAGGGGGAGGATGAGCAAGGTGAGGGAAACAGGAAGAGATGGTACAAGAGAAGGGAAGAGAAGAGCAGAGTGAAAGAGAGGAGGAACGAGAAAGCAGGAAGACGGGAAAAGGACGAGGGGAGGACGAGGAATGAGGGAAAGAGGAGGGAGGAGGTGGGTGGGTGGGAGGAGGGAGGGGGGAGGAGGGAAGAGGTAGGTGGGTGGGAGGAGGCAGGAGGGATCGCATCTTGTGTTCTAGCACCTCATTCCTTGCACCATCCGTGAAGCCGCTGAAGTCAATGAGGATGTTGGGCTGTTCGTTGTTCACCATCTGAGCCACGACAAGGGGAGAAAGACCCTTGCACCAGTTCCACTCGTCCACGCTGTTGGCTATGTTGGCCATCACCTACAAGGGAGCAGGGGAAGGAGGAAAAGGAGTCATTAGTCAGAACAGGTTCCGAGGGCAGATTCACATGCGAGTTGTCGTGGGCTTCGAGCATGAAAGCGAATATTTCGAACTTGTCTTTGTCCATCATCTTGAAAACGCTCTGAATCAGCTGCCCCACAGGCTTCATGTTGAAATCAGCCGACACGATCGCAATCCCGAGCTTCTCAGGTATTGCAGCGAAGTTCGGAGCCCAAGGCACGAACTCGTTCCTCATCCTCTTCACGTTCCCTACCGCCTCTCGCGCCCTTGCCCTTGCGACCTGCTTCAATCTTCAACATCTCACACACCTTTGCTCCTCGACGCCCTCGTTCCTTTCCTTCTCCCTCTATCGCTCTTGTACCCCACACCCTCCTCGAGCTCGTTCCCCCACCTCTCTTCCTCTTTCCCTTCCTCCGTACCGTGCACATCTGTTCATCGGAGAGGGGATATGCGAGGCCGAAGATGGGCCCGAGCCCGCCCGTCGCTCCTCGGTCAATCATCTTCCTCACCTCCTCGAACAGCCTCTCGTGCTCCCGCCAGTCGCATAGTCTGCATCTCAGGTGCACCCAGCTGAAGTAGGCGGGCTCGTTGCGGGGGTTGGCCTTGACCGCCTCCTCGAAGAACACGACCGACTGGTTGAGCCGCGAGTGAGTCATCTCGATCGACGCCCCGAGCCCGTTGTACGCGTCCGACAAGCTCTCCGGCCTCCCCGCCACCTGCAGGGCCCGCGCGAACATCTTCTCTGCCTCCTTGAACCTCGTCATCTTGTACAGGTGGACGGCAGCTGCCGACAGCGCCATCTCGTGCTCAGGCTCGAGCCTCAGGGCTGTCACGTACGCGCGCATGCCCAGCTTGTTCATGTGCTGCTCGGTGAGGATCAGGCCAACGTGGTACCAATCCTCCGCCTCCAGCAGCCCGAAAGCCGTGAACAGCTCTACCCCATGCATGTGCTTGCCGCTACCTGCCAGCATGTGCGCGGCCTCGCTGATCAGCTTCCGCTCCTCGTTCCGGTCGAGACCTGCAGGCGAGGGTCAGGAGGCAGAGTGGGCAAGAGGAGGAGGAGAGTGACCAGAGCTCAAGAGAAGCTCAGAAGCTTCGACGATTCGATCTTGAAACGCTAGAGAGACGACGAGCATCTTCACGCCAACAGGATGAAACTTAACGCGTAGCCCTTCCCGCATGCACTTCTCTGCCTCCTCATACTCCCCTGCATCAATCAGCGAGCTGGCTTTGTTGATGTATGCTTCCACGCTCGGAAGGCGTAGAGCCTGTTCGAAGCATTCCATCGCCTTCTCCGTCTCGCCCATTTCCTTGTACATGATCCCCATGTTGTTCAGGATCATCCCCTTGGCTTGCGCATCCTTGCTCGCCTCAAGCCCCCTCTCGAACGCGGCGGTCGCCTCCTCGAACATCTGCAGCTTTGTGCAGGTCAGCCCGACGTTGTTGTGGACGACAGGAGCGTCAGGTCGCAGCTCAGAGCTCATCCTGAAGAACACCAGCGCCTCTTCTGCCCTTGCAGTCCTCATCATGAGGGCTCCCATCTTGAAGGGGCTGACTACGTTGTCGGGATCAAGCTCCATCGATCGCTTGTAAGCCTCCTCCGCCTCCTCGTCCTGTCCTCCTTCTTCCCCAGCTTCACCGAGAGCCAACCAGACCTCAGCATCATCATGAAACATTCTGCTCCCTTCCCTGAGACAGCGAAGAGCCTCCTCCTGCCTCCCCTCGTCCCGCATCCTCCAAGTCTCTTGCACGAGAAGCTCTGGGAACTCCTGCCCACATACTGTGCCATCAAGGTCTGCGGGGAGGAGAGGAGGAGAGGAAGGAGGTCGAGCATCAGGGGAGCTCGCAGCATCTCGCACGAGAGCCGACAAGGCGCACAGCATGACGACTCCGACGAGCCATCGCCATGCCATGACGTCCCACCTCGCCTCAGAGGAGGAGCAGAGGCAGCAAAACTCAGTAACTTCCCACGCCCGGCGCCGGGCGGGCCCGGGCCCGACGGCCGGGCCAGGCTCCGAGTGACCGGCTCGGACTGCCGTGACCGTTACTCAAACTTCCGTTAGCGGCCGCTCGGGCCAGCGGCCAGCCTCCCAGGCTCCAGTTCTGGATCGCTGAGCACCCCGGTGATCCGGGACTCCGAGCCACTAGGCCCGGCGGCACCGTACGGTCCCGCCGGGTCTCGGGCCGCCGGAGTCCAGTGCACGTGGCGGTGGCCGTGACTCCGACCGCGCGTACAGTCCGGCGAGCGGCAGCGCCGGCGCCCGGCGAACATCGGACCGGGGTCCCGGCACTGCGGCACGGGCCGCCGCCAAGTTGAATTCCGGTGGTCCGACCGTCCACCCGGCCATGCCCTGATTCTCGCCGGGCCCCCAGGTTTGGAAGTGCGTGCTGAAAAATGCAGTTTAAACAGAAAATTCAAAAAAAGAAAAGGTTGGATTATAAAAAGACCGGAAAACTTCCGCGATATGTAGAACTGACCAGGCACCCCCTGGTCACCGTCCCAGCCGCTTCCACAGGAGGGGTTTTAAACTTGTGGACTGTGCCTCTTGACTCGGACACGGGGGCCTGACTCTCAAGTTGGGGGTGGGGGGTGGCCCCGAGGCTCCGCTATTTGGGGTGTCGGACGGTCCTCCGAGGAGCATGGACAGGTTTAAAAGTTTCGATTCCACTGGGAGGGGGTCGGGGTCATAAGGGGAGGTCGGGGGGGGAGGGGGGGGCGGGGGGTTAGGCGGTCGGTCTGTCAGCAAGTTATTACGCCTCTTATGCCGCTTCGCGGAATCTTTCCGTAATAATAATATTTTAAAATGAAATTGAAAAGATCTGCTTTCGCGTCTACAAATCGATTTTTGAAGCCCTCGGAATTCTCCCGGGAGCAAGTTCCACTTGTTGATCTATTTTTACCATCAGTTTAAAACGTAATAATACCACAGGCTGTAAATAATAGTTGCCCCCTATCAAGAGCCAAGTTACCAACAGTCGTCAAACATTTCTGTCATTCTCCGTGATTCCCTGTGAATCTTATCGTTAGATCGTGTGATCCCCTGTTAATTCCTCTGCTGCTTCCCTCAAAGTTTTTTTTTCTGGTCATTGTGAGCTCGTGTCCCAGAGCTAATGGTAGTTGGCGAGGAAACAGCGAGATCCAAAATAACGGAGGGTTGGACTTGGAAGGTCTGTACCCACCATATCCCATACCGCAAACATTCCTAAATAGGTGGGTGAAGGTCTGTGGGGGGTACTGGATACGCCAACTCAATGAGCGCCCGCTGTCTTGCCCCACCCCTACCCCCTCAAGTGCCCAACTTGCCCCCGCTCATCCTCCCGAATCCGCTGCTTCTTCTTGTGCTCTCGTCGCGTCATTGATCGCGTCGCTCGCTCTGCCTCCTCACAGCCATCTCCTGGTCGCCTTCCTCTCCTCACAGCCATCTCCTGGTCGCCTTCCTCTCCTCACACCGCCCTCCTCCTCCTGTTTCTGCTCTTCGACCATCGGAACGCGCTACCCATGATGGACATAGATTTCAACGACCCAATCGCGACATTCGACGCTCCCTCGCCCTTCGACATGCTGGAGAGCGATGAGGCACAGGACAACTGCTGCGAAGAATCAAGATCTGAGTGGCTCTCAAGATTCTTCGGTGAAGAGCCCAATCTTCCGCTGGAAACTCTCGAAGAAGCGAGCCGGCTGCCCGGCATCTCCCGCTCCAACTCCGAGCCCCTTCCCTACTCAAGGCAGAGCTCAGAGACCCTCGACGTCCTGCCACCGGAGCAGCTCTGCTTCCTGGGGTTCACCGACAGCCAATGTGATTCAGATGGCGGGTTCGACATGTGCGAGACTTGGTTCCAAGAGGAGGGGCAGCCAAGGGAGAGCAAGCAGCAGCAGCAAGAGTTCTCGGAGAGCTCTGCGACCGTCCTGATGAAGAAGACGCAACGCGGCCTCCACGTGGCTTCAAACCCTCAGATCCAGCAGACAGCTCGCGACGGACAGGTAACCTGACTCAGCTGTCAATCCCGTCTTGACAAGTGTTCAGGCTCACTGGGCAGAGAAAGTGAAGATGATGCGTCGCGAGCATGCGCTGCTACGAGTGGCGGAGCTGAACAGAGCGTTTCCTCGGCAGATCGCAGAGGTGAAGGCACGAGTGACATGTGAAGGAGAGGCAATGACGGTCCTGTCTCAGTGCTGCAGGCTGAACTTAAAAAGCCAGAAAGAATCCCTCCTGCTTTGCTTGCAACGCGCCGTGAGAGATAAGGTAGACTCCTCAACCTCCTTCAACTACCACCTCTCTCCCTATCCCTTCCTCTCCTCGTCCTTCTCTTGCTCTTGCTCTTGCTCTGGCTCCTTCTCTTGCTAAAGTACCGACAGCTCATTCAACCTGGCAAGTTCGTCAACCCTGCCGACATGAAGAGAAGCTTTCTCGGCTGGACTCAGTTCACCATTCGACCTGGTTGCGCCGAGAGCTTCAGGATACAGGTGAAATTCGAGGAGGGCAGAAGTTGGGGGAGGGGGGAAGGGGAGGAGAGAGAGAAGGAGCGGGGGAGCGGGGGAGGGGGGGGTATAGGTTGCTTACAAACAAGCCTCAGATAGAAGAGATGTTTGAAGAGAAGGAGCCGAAAAGAAACACCATCCACAGCCTCTTCCGTCGTGCTGGGTGAGCTTTACTAGCTGTTGTCTGTGCTAGAGCTGAGCTGGGGCTGTCAGGTTGGTGCCCAAGGACTGGAAGCGAGCATGGGAGGGCAAAGCTTCATTCTACTTTCGTGCTAGATGTAAGAGGATATGACAAGGTCAGCTTAGAAGAAATCTTTTTGATTCTTTAGTACAAGCACTAAGATAAAGTCCCTTATCGCTACTTGCCCTTCCCTCCCATCTTGCCCCTCTGACATGCACCATCAACAATGAAGCAACGGAATCAGACCTCACCTGCAGCTTCTTCTTCACTCTGTTGTTGTTGTTCCTCTCTCCGATGCTCATCTTCAGTTTGCTGTAGACAGGTCAGCTCAAAGGCTCAAGTTGGTTCTGCTGCTCTTCACCTCTTCACCCTCAAGCTTCCCTTGCGAACCATGAGGAAGGGCTTGTTCTTCTTGGCCTACAGGAGGCGCATGAGGATCTGCCGGTCAGAGGGAGGGAGAGGAAGAGGAGGAGAGGAGGAAGGGGGGGGATGAAGGAGCAGGAGGAAGCGCGAGGTAGCGAAGGAGGAAGAGAACGAGGAGGAGGAAGAGATCGAGGAGGAGGAAGAGATCGAGGAGGAGGAGGAGGACGTGGTAAGGTACTCCCTCCAAGGAGGAAAGTAGAATGTAAGATGATATGCTCGCCTGCTCGTTGGTTATCCCGCCTGCCAATTTCTTTCGCTCATGTCTGTCCTTCCAGGCTCCTTCTCTTCCTTCGCGACCTATCATGAACTTAAGAAGAGAAGACAGTGCGAGATCGTAGTTTCGAGGAACACGACCAGAAGCATCTGCAGGGGAGGGCGAAGGAACAGGAGGAGTACAAGTAAAGGAAAGACTAGGAGTACGAGATGAGATGCGTGGAAAGAGAGAAGTGCTAGTAGTTGTTGGGTGGTAATGGAGGAGGACGAGGAGGAAGAAGACGAGGACGAGGACGAGGAGTAGCAGGAGGAGGTGGAAGCTACAAGAGTTTGACCTGCCATGATAGACTCGAGGCGCGCGGCCTTGTCAAGTCGACGCTTCTTGTGCTGACCGACGAGAGCCTCGGGGTCGAGACGTTCGCTGACTGCAAGACAGTCAACAGGATGAAGACGAAGGAGGAGGAGAAGACAGGGCTTGAAGCGGAGGTGCTCTAGCAGGAGGAGGAAGACGAAAGGAGAAGAAAAAAAGGGAGAGAGGGATTAGTGAGGAGGAGGAGGAGGAAAGGAGAATGAAAACAACAAGGAGGAGGGCAAGGAGGTGGTGGAGGACAACAACGCAGAAGTGCTGCAAGAGGATCTTACGTTCGAGGCTCTCAGCGTCAGGACCCTGCAGAAAGATGAGGAATGAGGGAGAAAAGACAGCAGCCTGTTCTTCACCTTCCTCCTCTTGCCCAGCCTCTCCTCCACCTCCCTCTTCATCCTCTTCTTGCGGATCTTCTCAAACTCCTCTGTGAAGATTGTGAGCGAAAGGAGTGAACAGCAGGGGCTGACCGGCTGTGAGAGGTCGGAGAGCATCTAGACGGAGCCCTGCAAGCTCGCCGTCTCCTCCTTCTTTCTTCTCCTCCTTCTCCTCCTTCCTCTTGCCCTCCACCGCTTCTTCGTCCTATCAGTGATTGTGAGGCCGCACAAAGGGAGCATAAGTCAAGTACCTGATCCATTGAGGTAGGACCTTCCTCCTCCCCGTTCTCCTCCTCCTCCTCCTCCTCCTCCTCCTCCTCCTCCTCCTCCTCCTCGCTGCTAACTAGGTCAGCACAGAGATATGGTTGGCTCATGATACCTGTCGTCCTCGGCTAGAAACACGTCGGCTCCTGGCACCATCAT